AGTGGATCCCGCCACGTTAGAGGCGGTGTCGGGGCCGATGGGTAGTGGCGCCGCCGCCGCCGCCAGCGCTGGCGGCGGCGGCGGGCATGGCAACGGCAGCGGTAACGGCAGCGCCTTCGGCGCCCCGGGTGCTAACGGCGGCGGCTTTGGCCACTGCAGCAACACGGACTACTATGGAACCGGTGGCGGCGGCGGCGGCGGCGGCGTTGTTGTTGCTGTTGGTAGTGGTGCGGGTGGTGGCAATGCCAGCGCCAGCGCCAGCGGCGGCGGCGTATGTATGTCTGCTCGTGTGGCGGCGCTGATGCCGCACTTGCTGGCCTCCGCCACTGCGCTATCCCACCTGGTCTCCGCCGCGGGAATGATCTCCCAGGTGCGGTGTGGCTGTGCTGGTGAACACCTGGGCCGCGGACACCCGGGCCGACGAATGGAAGGACAGCTTGGGACAGAAAAAGAGAGAGAGAGAGAGAGAGAGAGAGAGTGTGTGTGGAGGCGTTATGTCTCACGCGCAACAGGACCGAGGGCACCGGAGGGAAAGGAGGAAAGGCCGCTGTTAGGAGAAAAACGGTGATTAAAAACGGCGAAATCGCGGGAATTTCTTCTTATTCTTATCCTTCTTATCCTTATTCTTATTCTTATTCTTATTCTTATTCTTGTCGCTCGCTCCTCTCTCCTGCGTCGTGCGTCTCGTACCGCCGCTCCAAGGCCCCCCCCCTCGTGAGCTTTCCCCGCGCTCCCCTCCGTTCCCCTTCTTCGCCCCTGATATATATTTCATTGATTGGTACATTCCTTTTGCTGCCAAACAGGAAGTAGATGAAAACCACCATCCTCTCCCTGCCTGCCTGCCTGCCTGCCTGCCTGCCTAGGTATTGCGAGTGGCCGGGGAGCAGCACAGCCTCTTCAGTGTCCCTGTCCTCCGTGCCAGCCTGCGTATCTGCAACCCCAGCACCGCCCTGGTAACAGCCCTGGTGCAGGTATGTATGTGGGTACGAGGGAGAGAGGGAAGGGTTGGCCGCAACCCCTGGGCTAAGTTGCGGATTACGCTTGATGCACTAACCCCTTCCGTGTCCCTGTCTGGCCCGCCTCCCCTCCCCTCCCCTCCCGAGGTCACAGTCGCCACGGACGCCTTTCGGTCAGTTTTTTCGTTTGCTACTTTCTTGCCCTGGCAGCAGCTTCAATCGTGTGTGGTTCGTCTTTCCCTCCCCTCCCCTCCCCTCCCCTCCCCTCCCCTGCCAAACCCTATCAGACCAACACGCACTTTGCAGTGGCGGCCCTGGACAACACCATCTACATTCGCAAGTCCCCTGCAGATATAATCCGGCTGCTGCAGGCGCTACACTCCACGTTGCCCCCCAAGGCGAGTGTGGGGGCCCCTCCAGGGGAGGCGTTCGGCGGCCTGGTGTTAGGAGGAGGAGGAGGGGGAGGAGGAGGAAGAGGAGGATGAGGGGGAAGGAGATTTTAATGCAAGTTGTTGGGTGTTGCGTTTATGTGGGTTTGTTGAGTCGGGGTTGTCGCCATGAAGTGCCGCTATCCTGCCAGTGCTGTTTCCCCGGGGGGGGGGGAGCAGGTACGGGGCACCTGTACGGTGCAACCACCGTTGGACCCGGCAGGAACGAATTTCGCGTGCCTCTCGCCTCTCATCCTTCTCCTCTCGTCCTTCGCTTCTTCCCGTTTTCTTTCTTTGGGCTGAGCAGAACTTGTGTAGCGGCGGCGCGTTCGGCGGCGGCGGCAGCGGCGGCGGCGCCAATGGCGGCATTACCAGCGGTGGTGGTGGTGGTGGTGGTGGTGGTGGTGGTGGTAGCGGCGGCGACACCTTTCTCTCGAAGTCGCGTCTATCCCCAGGCGACTCCTTCACCTTGGGGACATTGAGCCGCCAGAGCAGCTCCCAACGTTTGTTTCGTAGCTTTGATGTTAAAAGATCAAGTACGTCATCAGGGTACGGCAATGGTTTCGGGGCGGCGGCAGGAGGGGGCGCGAATTCAGGGCCGCCGTCGCCGCTGGGGAGCCTTACGGCGCCGCCGCTGGTGTCACCGTCATCAGCGGCACCGCTAGCGGCGGCGGCGGCGGCGGCGGCGGTAACGTCGCCCAGCTCCCGCCGTACCACGACCTCGGAGTTCAGCCTGCGATTTAGCTCTGCCAATGCAGCTGTAACGCCATACCCGTACGGTGAGCCGTACAGTCAGTTGGAGCGAT